TCCCCTTTGCCCACTTTTTAATTGGGATGTATGTTTTTCCTTTTTGACTTGCAAGAATTCTTGATATGTTATGGAAACCATTCCTCTGGGATAGGAGTTACAAATACTTGTTTCTAGTTTATCTTTTATTGATCTTATTTTTGGTGTAATCGTTGTTGCCATCTTGACAGAAATGTTTAATTTCCTATATCTATATGATTTTTTTCCTTTTATCATTTTACATATTTCTGTTTACTCTCTTTAAATTCTGGTTTTTCGGGCAGCCCGGGTAGCTCAGCGGTTTAGCGCCACCTTCGGTCCAGGGCGTGATCCTGGAGACCTGGGATCAAGTCCCACGTCAGGCTCCCTGCATGGAACCTGCTTCTCCCTCTACCTGTGTCTCTGCCTCTCTCTCTCTCTCTCTCTCTCTCTCTCTCTCTCTCTCTCTGTGTGTGTGTGTCTCTCATAAATAAAATCTTTAAAAAATAATAATAATAATTTAAAAATAAATAAATTCTTGTTTTTCGGTGCACCTGGCTCAGGTTGTGATCCCAGGGTTCTAGGATCGAGTTCTGCTTGAGCTCCCCACAGGGAGCCTGCTTCTCCCTCTGCCTGTGTCTCTCTGCCTCTCTCTGTGTGTCTCTCATGAATAAATAAATAAAATCTTAAAAAATAATAATTCTTGTTTTTCAAATTTTACATAGTTGATTCTCATTCATAGGTTGTGTATAGGCAAATTTGCCTGCTTGCTGAAATTTATCTATAATGCCCAAATCAATAATCATGGTGCTTTTGCCATCATTTGCAGACAAGTGCAAAGTGGCAAGAAATTGGAGACCTCTGACACAGACATTCACAGTTGAGCTGAGCAGTGCTTGGTCTTCATCTTTCTTTTTTTAAAGACTTCATTTATTTATTTGGAGAGAGAGAGAGGGAGAGAAAGAGTGTGCGTGCGCACCAGGGGAGGGAAAGAAGATCCCAAGCAGACCCCACGCTGAGTGCAGTGCACTACCATGAGATCATGACCTGAGCCAAAGTCATGAGTCAGATGCTTAACTGACTGAGCCACCAAGGCACCCCTCCGTATTCATCTCTGAGCCACCAAGGCACCCATCTGTCACCATCTTTCTTTTTTTTTTTTTAAAGATTTATTTTTATTTATTTATGATAGAGAGAGATGCAGAGAGAGAAGCAGGCTCCATGCCGGGAGCCCGACACGGGACTCGATCCTGGGACTCCAGGATCGCGCCCTGGGCCAAAGGCAGGCGCAAAACCGCCAAGCCACCCAGGGATCCCCTGTCACCATCTTTCATCTCATACCATAAACCAGCATTCCTTGCACAACTTTTTAGTGCTACATTTTTCACATTTCTGTGCCTTTTCTCTCTTTAAGGTGACCCCCAAACTTTGTGCATTATGTTCCCAAGTGCAAGAAGGCTGTGAGGTGCCTTACAGAGAAAAATACATGTGTTGGTTAAGCTTTATTCAGGCATAAGTTATAGTGCTTTTGGCTGTGATTCAGTGTTAATGAATCCTCAGTATAAAGTAACGTGTCTTTCAACAGAAACACAACATTTTAAAAGGTATTTTTATCAGTTGATAGAAATGTGACTAGAGGCTTGCCTGAACGTAGCTCTATTATATCTTCTAAAAGCAATGGCTCATTATTCACAAGTTTATTGTTGTGTTGTTGTTGTTGTTTTAAGATTATATTTATTCATTTGAGAGAGTATGAGTGTGAGGGGAAGGGCAAAAGGAGAGGGAGAAAACGACCCCCACTGAGCAGGGAGCCTGATGTAGGACTCGATCCCAGGACCCTGAGATCATGATTTAAGCTGAAGGCAGATGCTTCACTAGCTGAGCCACCCAGGCACCCACAAATTCATTGTTTATAGTGACTTTTTAGGGGCACCTGGGTGGCTCAGTTGGTTAACTGTCCAACTCGTGATCTCAGCTCAGGTCTTGATCTCAGGGTTGTGAGTTCAGGCCTCACGTTGGGCTCCACTGGAGCCTGCCACCCCCTCCCCCCAAAATGACTTTTTAGAACATGACTACCAGGAATAATGAGAATCAAGTGCATTTAAGTTGTTTCATAAGCGGTTTACCCAAGAATAGAGATAATGAAAATAACTTTGTTAGCAATTCCAGTGAGAATTCAGAAACCGCAAACCCAAGTTTTTATTCCATATTTTCCCGATATTTAATATATGTGTGTATCACAAATGGGTAACATTCTTTGGATGCATCTAACTGTTTACTAGTTGTTATGCATGAGCCTACAATATATTTATCTTCTAAATATTGATTCCAGATTTCAGGTACATTTTTACTGTGTTCTAGCTTATCATTACCTTGATGATTGTTCACGGATTTCATCAAAACGTTTTTGAAATTTCATGGCTCATAATTTTAAGTGGACAGATTATAGCTACCTTCTTTGTTGGATTACAGCAAAAATATTTCATTTTTACATTAGCACCAGTAAGAATGATCAGTCTAATTACTGTTTTTCATTTCTGTAACATCTGTTAGCTTCCATTTACTTCTGTATACACATCTGTCTTTTATATTTGTCCACTCACAAACTTTATTAGTGAATTTGGGTGTACAGGCATCATAAAAGGTGAATACTGGCAGGGGGCAGGAAAAAAGATGAATACTATCATGTTTTTTAACAAAGTAAAGATAGTTCACATTTTACCACAAAATATTACAATGAAATCCTTCCTGTTGAAGGATGAATGACACTACTGTACTTCCTTTTATGTCCTCAGAAATATATCACTTCTTGAGTTGGGAGAAAATGCACCTAGGTAGTATATACCATTTGAAGACTCATCATCTGAGATTTTGCTTATAGGGACAAGTTCACCACCACTCTTAGTCTACAGTAGGGGTCACAAATTTTTCTTAGGGGCAGCTGACTCAGAAGAGCATGTGGCTCTTGATCTGAGTCGTGAATTTGAGCCCCACATTGAGTGTAGAGATTACTTTAAAAATTTTAAAAATAGGGATGCCTGAGTTCAGTCGGTTAAGCGTCTGCTTTCAGCTCACGTCATGACCCCAGGGTCCTGGGATCGAGCCCTACATGGGGCTCCCTGCTCAGTGGGGAGCCTGCTTCTTCCCCTCCCTCTGAGCCTCCTTCCTGCTGTGCTCTCTCTCTAATAAATAAATGAAATTTTTAAAGAAAATAAAAATAGGGCAGCCCCTGTGGCGCAGCGGTTTAGTGCCACCTGCGGCCTAGGGTGTGGTCCTGGAGACCTGGGATCAAGTCCCACGTTGGGCTCCCTGCATGGAGCCTGCTTCTCCCTCTGCCTGTGTCTCTGCCTCTCTCTCGCTCTCTCTCTCTGTGTGTCTCTATGAATAAATAAACAAAATCTTAAAAAAAAAAAAAAGAAAAAAAGGGATACCTGGAGTGGCACAGTGGTTGAGCCTTCTGCCTTTGGCCCAGGGCGTGATCTTGGAGTCCTGGGATCGAGTCCCGCATGCAGCTTCCCACAGGGAACCTGCTTCTCCCTCTGTCTCTGCCTCTCTCTGTGTGTCTCTCATGAATAAATAAATAAATAAAATATTTTAAAATAATAAAAAGACTAAGAAATAATTAAAAATTTTTTCTCTTAAAAAATTTTTTTTCTCTTATAGGACTGGGTAGTAAATACATTAGGCCATAGTTTTCTAACTGCTGGTCTAGATGTTGCTGTCTCTTCACATTCGTCTTCTAATTGGTTTAATAATTATGAAAATATTTCCTTTGCCAATTTTGTTCTTTATGCTATTATAGTGAATAAAAAGTCTGAACTTTTGGGGCACCTGAGTGGCTCAGTGAAGCATCTGCCTTCAGCTTAGGTCATGATCCTGGGGTCCTGGGATCAAGCGAGTTGGGCTCCCTGCTCAGTGGGAGGTCTGCTTCTCCCTCTGCTCCCCTCCGCTGCCCCCCTGCTTGTGCTCATGCTCACTCGCTCTCTTTCAACTAAGTAAATAAATTCTTTAAAAAAAAAGTCTGAATTCTGTTTTCAAGGAAGGCTTAAAGGAAAAAAAAAAAAAAAAAAGACCACAAGGATGAAGAACAATGTCTCCCTACTTCTGTTAAAACTTCTTCTTGAAAGAAATTCTGTACTTTGGGCAACAGAATAAGAAAACGGAAGGATGATGCAATAATGATCATCTTTTGTGATGATTTATTTCATCATTGTTTTAGGTGAACTCTGTCCTTGCATGTTCTTACTATTTCAGTCTTTTTTAAAAAATCATAGCTGCAGATAATCAGTGAATGTTATCTATTGTTACATGACAAAATACCCCAAAATTTACACCTTAAAATGGCACATTTATTATTTCTAGTTTTTGTTGATCAGGAGTCCAGGAGCAGCTTATTAGCTGGGTGGTTCTCATGAGACTACAGCCATCTCAAGTTTTTGCTGGGGCTGGAGGATCTGCTTCCAAGCTCACTCACTCCTTTTTGTTTGGAGACCTGACTACCCTAGCTTCTTGGGGCTTTCCATACTCAGCCTGAGAGTCACATCATGGCAGCGGGATTCCCCAGAGTGAGTGACCCGATAGAGAGTAAGCAACACCACACCCACTTTATAAATTTTTTTTTAAGATTTTATTTATTTACTAATGAGAGACACAGAGAGGCAGAGACACAGGCAGAGGGAGAAGCAGGCCACATGCAGGGAGTCCGATGCGGGACTCGATTCCCAGACTTCAGGATCATGCCCTGAGCTGAAGGCAGATGCTCAACTGCTGAGTTACTCAGGCTTCCCCACACCCACTTTATTTTTTTTTTAATTTTTTTTTTATTTATTTACGATAGTCATACAGAGAGAGAGAGAGGGGCAGAGACACAGGCAGAGGGAGAAGCAGGCTCCATGCACCGGGAGCCGGACGTGGGATTCGATCCCGGGTCTCCAGGATCACGCCTTGGGCCAAAGGCAGGCGCTAAACCGCTGCGCCACCCAGGGATCCAAGAAAATAGATTTTGAAACTGCATACTTATATTAGATCTTTTTTACCCCCAGATTCAGGTGCAGCTCTCTCCCAAGGAGAATGGTATTTTGATGCATCACGGTCAATGTGAACAAAATTTCATCTTTTTCTTCACGAAGAGTTGGTTGGGTGGCACAGTCACCTGTATTTCCGTATGTTGTATGTGACTCATGCTTAAATAACAAGCTGTGTGTTTCAAGGGAATCATCAGTTTAAATAACTCAGTAATGGAAATGTGAGTAATTAACTCTGTCACATGTAGTACAGAAAAGTCAACCTGTGAAAATTTCGACTCAGCACATTTGTATATTGTAACTTCCCTAGTATAAAGTGTGTTAAGCTTTTTATTAATGCCTTTAAAATAAATGGTAAATTTTTTTAACCTTGACTGAGTATTTTTCTTTAGAATATATCTGGTGAGACAAATCTGTATAAAAATGTAGGAAGAAAACTACTCGAACTTATTTAGGTAAGGGGTAATAGTGTAAAGATATAAGCAATTATAAAGCAATGTTGTTGATAATCCAAGGTTGGGAAACAAAGCTCGTGAAGCCGGCTGTCTCAGGACTGGACCCAGCCAGTCGGGGACCACGGCTCTTTTCTGCTTCTTGGAAGTCATCTTGTCAGATTGTCATCATGCCACTGCCTGACGTCGCTGCCCACGCTTTTGTGCTTTCGCCACGGCCTTGCAGTTCCATCCACGGTCCATTTGACAGTATCTCCATCAGTTCAGAGTCTCAGGAGGGATAGAGAATCCTGTTGCTTCAGTTGAGTCTGAGGCTTGGTATCCGTGCGCCTGGGATTCTCCGTTGCCTTTTTATCTGTGGGAGAAGTTGTTAATATAAAAAGTTCTGTTTCCTTCAGAAGTTTCACCCGGACAAACTAAATGTACCTAACATAGTTGTAGCTGCCCAGTACACATTTGTTGAATAACATGAATATTCAATTCCTGGTAAGTAAACTTCACAGGGTGGGGTGTTTTATAGCTTAAGCTTTCTTGTACAGGTGAGTAGATTTTTATTTTACTTGACACCTAGTATTTTAAACTTATTTCATTGCCTAAGTAAGTGTGCCAGCTTAAATTTAGTTACAAGGATAGCTTACTTGCGTTCTCCAACATTTTTAGAAACCCTTTTATTTGTGTGTGTGTGTGTATGTGTATTTAAATTCAATTAACATGGAATGTATTACTGGTTTCAGAGGTAGAGGTCAGGGATCCATCAGTCTTAGGTAACACCTAGTCCTAATGACATCATGTGCCCTCCTTAATGTCCATCACCCAGTTACCCCATCCGCACACCCGCCTCCCCTCCAGTGATCCTCACTTTGTTTTTTATGATTAAGAGTTTCTTACAGGGAAGCCCTGTTATAATACCTAATACCCTTGGAAAGTCGTTATAGGTTCAGGCAAGTCATTCACTTCAGCAATTAGTTACTCAGTTTTATGTGCTAGGTACTCTTCTACGTGCTTGGAGATAGCAATTAAAAAAAAAAAGATGAAAGTTCCTGCTTACAGCAGTCGGGACCACTGGCAAACAAGTGAAATGTATAAGGTGCCAGATAGTAATACATGCTATAGAAAAAAATGAAGTAGGGAAAGACGTTAGGCAGAGTGCAGTTGGAATGTGGATGCTTTTAAAAAAAGAATGGTCAAGGGGCACCTGGCAAGCTCGGTCATGTGACTCTGATGTCAGGAAAGTATGTGACTGTTCATCTCAGGGTTGTAAGTTCAAGCCCCATTTTGGTAGTAGAGATTACTTAAAAATTTTTTTTAAAAAATTTAACCGGGTGGCTCAGCGGTTTAGCACTGCCTTCAGCCCAGGGCCTGATCCTGGAGCCCCAGGATCGAGTCCCATGTCAGGTTCCCTGCATGGAGCCTGCTTCTCCCTCTGCCTGTGTCTGTGTGTGTGTGTGTGTGTGTGTGTCATGAATAAATAAGTAAAATCCAAAATAATAATAATAATAAATAAATTCATAAAAAAGAATGGCCAGGGAAGCTGAGGTAACATCTGAGCAGGGGGATCCCTGGGTGGCGCAGCGGTTTCGCGCCTGCCTTTGGCCCAGGGCGCGATCCTGGAGATCCGGGATCGAATCCCACGTCGGGCCCCCGGTGCATGGAGCCTGCTTCTCCCTCTACCTCTGTCTCTGCCTCTCTCTCTCTCTGTGACTATCATAAATAAATAAATTTAAAAAAAAATTCTTTAAAAAAAAAATCTGAGCAGGGATGTGAAGGAAATGAGAGCCATTCACATAAGTAGAGAGAGCACCTCTCTGTCAAAGGAAACAAGTACAAAGGCCCTAAGGGTGAGTTTGGCATGTTCAGGGAATGGCGAAACCAGTGTGGCTGGAATGGAAGTGAACGAGGAGGAGAGATTAGTGTTGGAATTACGGGAGGTAACTAGGGGTCAGGTCACATGTAGGCCACTGTAAGGTCTTTTGTGTTTGTATTCATCTGAGATCCATTGGAAAGTTTTGTTTTGTTTTTAAAGATGTATTTATTCATGAGAGACACAGGAGAGACGGAGAGACACAGGTAGAGGGAAAGCAGGCTCCCTGCAGGGAGCCCAATGCAGGACTTGATCCTGGATCCTGGGATCACACCCTGAGCTGAAGGCAAAAGCTAAACGAGTGAGTCACTCAGGTGTCCCCATTGGAAAGTTTTGAACCAAAAGTATAGCATGACCTGATTTATTTTAAAATGTCTTATGACTACTACGTGTTGAAAATAGACCATAAGTATCAAGAGAGGCAGCAGGCTGACTAGTTAGTGGTTAGTAGTGGTTGGATCTGAGTGTATTTTTTAAGTAGAGCTCAGCCTTTGCCAGTAGATGACATAGAGAGAAGCAAGAGAAATTAAGGATGACTCTCTAGGTTTGGGGCCTCAACAAGTGGAAGAACAAAGGTGGAATTTAATAGAGAAGTTGGCATAAAGGGTACTTGTGGGAAAGGAAGGATAGGAGCTGGGTTTAGACAGGTGAAATCTGAGTCGAAACTCAATACGAGGAGTTAGATACGATTCAAGATTTCAGAGGAGATTACTCTGGGAAACGAACAAGGGGTAGTGGAAGGGGAGGTAGGCGGGGGGCTGGGGTGACTGGGTGATGGGCACTGAGGGGGGCACTTGAGATGAGCACTGGGTGTTATGCTATATGTTGGCAAATTGAACTCCAAAAAAAATAAAAATAAAAGATTTCAGAGGAGAGAACTGGGCTAGAGATGAAAATGTAGAAGTTAAGTTAGCATAGACTTGGAATTTCAAGCTGTTCATCAGGACCACATCTCCAAGCAGGGTATTTCTTTCTTTTTTTTTTTTAAGATTTTATTTATTCATGAAAGACACACAGAGAGGCAGAGACACACAGGCAGAGGGAGAAGCAGGCTCCATGCAGGGAGCCTGATGTGGGACTTGATCCCGGGACTCCAGGATCATGCCCGGGGGCCAAAGGCAGGCGCTAAACCGCTGAGCCACCCAGGGATTCCCAAGCAGGGTATTCACGTAGAGATGTCAGAGAACTCTGGAATACCCCTAGCGTTCAGAGGTCAGACATGAGAAAAAGCAGTAAAGGAGACTGAGGGAAGTCTCCGTGAGTTAGGAGAAAACCAGAAAGGGTCCCCTGGAAGCCAAATGAAGCATTTGAGGAGGGAGTGATGGGCCACATCTACTGGGTCAGCTGTTGTTAACAAGTAATGGATGAGGAGTGAGAAGTGTTTATTGAATTGAGCGATGTCGAGCTCATTGGTAACCCTCCTGAGAGCTACTTAGGTGGAATGAAGGGAAAAGCCTTGTGGGAGAGAACGTAAGAACAACTGAATATAGCCCCATACGAACAACTCTCTCAAAGATTTTTTTTTTAATTTTATTTATTCATGAGAGACACAGAGAGGCAGAGACACAGGCAGAGGGAGAAGCAGGCTCCCTGCAGGGAGCCCGATGTGGGACTCATCCAGGGACCCCAAGATGCTTAACCCAGTGAGCCACCCAGGTATCCCTCTCAAGAAATTTTGTTTTCCTGAATTGGTTATATTTTGGTTTTAGTAAAATCATTTACAACATTTAGAGTTTTTGTGAACTTTGGTCCATTTGTATACATGTTTATGAATGTGTCAGTTGTTTAGGTGAAATTTCTTACTGGAAGTCATGGTAGGGGGCAGCCCCGATGGTGCAGCGGTTTGGCGCCGCCTGCAGCCCCGGGTGTGATCCTGGAGACCCGGATTGAGTCCCGTGTCAGGCTCCCTGCCTGGAGCCTGCTTCTCCCTCTGCCTGTGTCTCTGCCTCTCTCTGTCTCTCTGTGTGTCTGTATGAATAAATAAATAAAATTTAAAAAAGAAAAGAAAGTCATGGTAGGGCAGCCCGGCTGGTTTAGCGGTTTAGCACCCCCTTCGGCCCGGGGCCTGGTCCTGGAGACCCGGGATCAAGTCCCGCTTCGGGCTCCCTACATGGAGCCTGCTTCTCCCTCTGCCTGTATCTCTGCCTCTCTCTGTGTGTCTCTATGAATAAGTAAATAAAATATTTTTAAAAAATAAAAATAAAAAATGAAAGTCATGGTAAAAATTTGAAAAATATGGAGTTAGAACGAGAAATTGTAGGTATCGTTTGGATAAGAGGTTGAGGATCGTAGATGTTTCAACATGGGTACCATGCAAGGATTTAGGGAGTTGGAGAGGATTGGAAGACGTGATCAGAAAGGGAGAAGTTTAGAAACGTCAGGCTGAGCGCCAGGGCAGGGAGGAATGGCCTGGGTGTCCTGTGGAAACAATGTGGACTAGAATAAAAGGGCCCAGTACTCTTCTAGTCTAAAAATACTTTGTCATGGCCGTATTCCATTGTTTGTAAAGGGCCGGAGTTATTTTAGCTTTGCAGGTTATCTAGGATAGTCTCTGTCACCTATTTTTGAAACTTTTAAAAATGTAAAAAAGAGTCGTAGCGCAGACTGCACAGGCTCAGGCCATACTTTGCTGCCCTGCCTTACCCTAGAAGCCCTCATCAGAAGCTTTAGAGATTATTGACATGGAGTTCTATTTGTTTTTTGGTTTTTTTTCTATTTGTTTTTAAAATACCACATTTAAGATCTGCAAGAGAGAGAGGAGTCAAACCTGCCCCTTCCTATCCGCGGCCTCCTGGCCCCCTCCTGGAAACCAGCCGCTACCCGTCTTGTAGATCATATGTGAGAAGTTTGCTGTAACGTGCACTCGCGTATACCCCATCAGTCAAGCTTAAAAAAAAATTCTAGGTTCTTTTTGCTTTAAGTCTGAATTATTTAGTAAGTATTAGTTTTTTCAGGTTGTTGCTTTTCATGTCCAAATGCCCCCTTCACCACCTTCCCTGCAGTAGTAGATCTGGGCTCTGTAGAGACCTGTCCCCCCAGCAGGCACCTGGAAAGC